CAAATGCAAAACTTCTGTAGGCAAAGCTGGAACTTGTCTCAACCTTTAGGGAAGCATTTAAGGCGTCTCTATGAGCTCTGTCTTTTCCCAGAAGGAAGAGACTCCAGGTGACTCCTTCAAGCACGTATCTCTGCAGGGGGGTGGTACAGCCTAGCTGCACCGTACAAAAGCCTCAGGCTAAATGACTATGGGATCCTAATTCGTATGGAAAAATCTATATCCATTTCAGGAAGTGTCTCCTGCTGAGTGTGATTTAGAGCTCCACTGTATCCATTACAGTTGCACAAGAGATGAATGCGGTTCATTATGTCGAGAGATAGAACAGAGAGCAAGGAAAAAAACAAACACCACCTTAGCCCAGTGCAGAAATGGCGAGCATCACCTACCAAGGCGGCTGCCGGCAGCAGCGAGGGCAAGCTGTGCTAGCATGAAGGCTGCTAGGAAAAGAGTTGTACTTAACACACGAAAATCCAAGACCGTGCTTCCATCTGTAAAGGCACATTAATGACTTCGCACAGTCACCATAGCTGTCTTCCTTCCCGCACGAAACGTCACTGGGGAATCTGTTTCGTTAGTGGTGAGAATCGATCGTAGTGGTTTGGGAAAGCACCATTACAATCCTCACATACATCACCTCTCCTCTGAACCAGAGCTCTGTGTGTAATGCACAGTGACAGGACATAACAGCACTCACAGGTTCATACACGGTATGCAACATATATAGACCCAAGATACCAAAACTCATGATAAGCTTTGGTAATCTTTCTTTTTTTATTCTTTCGTCACACAGACAGTCACAATGTGCAGTGTGGAAACACTTTTGTAAGCGAGGCAATGCTGGCTGTAGGGCCAACTTTAAAAAAAAAAAGGGGAGCTGTCAAAAGTTACTCTGTAAAGCCTTATTTTAAAGCACTGACGGTGCCAAGGCATCTGCGACTATGAAAATGTGAAGACAGATCTAAGAGATTTATTTTATAATACTATTTTTCAAACTACTATATTGAGAAAAAATAATTAAGGAAGACTCCTAATCCACATATACCAATCCTACATTAAGTGTCTTTACAGAGCTTGATTTTCATTAGGTGAAATAACTCAATGAAACAACTTAGTGAGGTCAAATCAAACTTAAAAATATTTTATAAGGCATTTCCAGGAGTTAGTATAAGTTACTACCAATTTTACCTTTGAATTTTACTATCTGTCGTCAGCCTTTTTGCCTCAACACTTGTTCAAAAAAAGTCCATACTCTGAAATGGTATCCCTGATTTTACTGAGTACTTTCTAAAGAGAGTAGCCTGCAGAAGAGAACATTTTGCCTACAACCATAGTCTTTAGCCAGTGTGCCCTAATCAAATCCTATAAAATCAAATGGCACTGAGGAAAAAAAAACCTCCTTCAAATCACAAAATACGTTGTGAGCCTTCATATGGCCAATTAGTAAGTTTACGTTTTAAGTAAAATGTTGACTGCTTTATTTTAAGCCATAGCTATAGCTTATTTATATTTATACAGTGGATAAACAGAGCAACCATACCATGCTAGGACGCATTCAAAGATTTCTTTACGCAGGATCTTCCCAAGTGGAAGATCATTTTTTTCTGTGAAGGCAAATGACATCTCCAGGCAGTATAATCCTTTAGTACAGATGTGAGGCCAGACTGGGCTGGTTCTGCAGTGAACAGCCAGAGGCCAAACCCCTTACCCAGGCCTGATTCAGTAAGATATTTAAGAACTTGTAGAATTTTTACAGATTTTTGTGGATTTTGGATACTGAAGGGTATGGGAGTTAATTCCATACGTACAGTATCAGTCGATGTTCGTGACCTTTAGTACCAGGGTTGCTCCACTTTGAAGTCACTGGAGTTTAAGACATGTTTTTCCATCCCCTGAAGAATTAGCTCAGTGCATAATTATGAGTGTGACCTTTCATGTTTTGTTTGGTAAATATTTATGTGACTGGATTTTGCTTAAGGATTAATTGTTCTTTATATAGATGCAACTTTAGTCACAGAAATGAGGTTAACCAACCACTGCAATTTACAGAGAAATAATATGGGTAATTTCTTTACCTCCAGCAAGATAAAAACAAAAACTCCCACAGTACAGTCTCCTATTTTCTTGTCCTCCTTTTCACTGCTTTGCTCCAACTGCTTTTTCTTTCACCTTTCTCTTATTTACCTTTCCTTCTCCACCTCCCCTTCCTTCCTTCCTCTGTTTTTTCCCAATTCCTCCTGTCTTTCTTCTACTATTCATGTTGTCTCCTGTTTTTCTCTTCCTCATCACCTTCCTCCTCCCTGCAAGGAAGTCACAGTCCGCTCTTACTCCCCAAAAATGAAGAACAGAGGTTGTGAGTAAGAAACTACCACAGCTGTTGCTGGCTGAAGGGAGCTACCCAGATGACTCAGATCACCTTCAAGTTGAAGGGCTTCTTTCCTTCAACAGGTTTTTTTCCTGCAACAGTGCTCTCTTGTTCTTACAGGTTTCTGCCAAGCAGCCGTAGGAATGACTGACAGTAAGAAAATGGTCTCATTTCCTTCTTTCTGTGATGACATTTGAGGTGGTCCTAAAGCGAGCAAGTCCAGTATCAAATCCCAGCTTGGGGGATGCTGGGGGAGCTCAAGTAGAGTCTGGGCTCCAGGACCCTCTACAGTTTTGAGAAAAGTGAGATAAACTAGCAAAAATAGCACTTCAGTGAGACCTACAGAGCATGGGTGCTTAAACAGCTTCGTGAAACAGGTTCCCATGTTCTTACCAAGGTGGTGAGTAAGTCTGCTGCTTGCTGGCTTCAGGATCTGCGGGCACTGGCCATCTTTCAGAGGCAGCACTCTCACCTGGGTCTTCAGGGGTATCCCAACTATCTTAGAAGAGCTGGACTTACAAGGCTAACTCAACAATATATGTAGTTAAAGTTAGGTTGTATGATAAACACCAAATAAGATTCTTAGTTTACAGTTGAGAAAAAATGGAGAAGAAAACCAGAACAAAACATCCTCTTTCCTAGCCCTTATTTTGTGTACATGATAGCACTTTCTGTATGATCAAAGTCAGTATTCTTCTGTAGAGCCAACATATTTCCCATGCTAGTGTGGGTTGCTTACAGCAAGCTAGGTGGAAAAATGGGATATTGTGTGTGCAACCAAGACAGTGAATAAATACATCTCTTGGCACGCTTGAGCAAAATCAGGCCAGCAGACTGCATGACAGAGAGCAGCTGGAAGATAAGAACTTCTTATGATCTGGCTAGCAAGTAGATACGTAACACCAATATGTCTGTTTTATGTCAGGCTGCTGCTTTTTCCTTTTTTTTTGTGTGTAGTAGCTTGAAAGAGGGAGAAAAGCCCATTTCAATGATGTCAACAGAATATGTTCAGCCACTTGATATACCAGACGACAGACTGGACAAGCGAGATTCACACTGTAACCATTTAGGTAAGTGTTATTAGATGATGTCATTGCAGTAATTAGAGAGGTGTTGTCTTCACATCATTAGGTCCCGTCCAGTGCCCGTTTTTCCCCTCCAGCAACACAACTGAACCCTCAGGAAACCTGATAGATTACACCTTCTGCTGACACTTCTGATGCCAGATGGAAAGGCAAAGAGCATTTTTCCTGCATATAAATATCAGCCAAAGCTCTAGGGTGAAGTTAATTAAAGAGGAGAAAGGAAAAAGAATCATTGTTCTTTTCTCTGGTAGAAAAAGTAGAGCAGTTTCTTCATTTATACCACAATAAACTGAAAGCTAGGATATAGCTGAACCTTTCCTGAACACATTTTTCATATGCAATTTCAGTAAAAGATTTCAAACACCTTCTTAGCTTCCACTGGGGCAGCTTTCTAATTACTTTTTCTCCTTCGTTGTCAATCTGTTTCTTCTCTTGAACCTATTTCATACATAATTTTGTATTGAGAGTACCAGAGGCATCTTTGCTCCGCCACACTCCTAAATACCAGACTTCATACTTGATAGATGTGCTTTTTGCATATTCATGGTCTTTGCCTCTGCTTCAAATGCTATTACTTCACTCCCGTCTTGCAAAATTGTCATGAAAATTTAGCAAACCAGAAACAATAATTTATTTGCTCATCGTTACCTTTGTGATGACAAAAATGAAACACAAATGCAATTTCACTTGCTTGTTAAAAAAAGCGTCTCACCGCAGGCAAGCACAATTTTATAAGCTTTGTTTATCTATCTGGCCTGCAAGGAAGGTATCCTAGTTCTGCCTCTGCCACCCACCATTTCTAGCCACAGGCACCACTTTTACAACTGCTGGCATACCAAACATAATTGTTCCATAAAATTACTTATTTAAATAAATACAGAATGAGTCCCATTCTACAGTCGGGAAACTGAGGCAGCAGGAGGTTAAATGAGCTCATCAGGACCACAGGCAGGAAGCCTGTAAGGGACAGAAAAAGACCCCACATCTTCCAGTGACTTTACCTGGAGGTCATCCTTCCCACATCTACCCGCAGACTCGCCTCAAATAGTGTGAGCCCGCCTGGAATTAAGTCCCACTGTGCTCAAGTCTGCAGTCAGGGGTTGGGTAGGGCTGTGGGGGACCCAGCTGAAGCCAAACAAGCAGCTTTTAAGAAATCAAAGCATTGGTTTGCATGATGACAGGCTATCTTAAATATTTTTGGCTTGCATAAGCACCCAGAAATGCAGATCTTTGCAGAAAAACCATGCTGACCACCTGAGTCATCTGAGTCAAGGCTTGCTTTAAGAGAAAACCAAAAATCCGGTGTAATGTTATGTAAATCAAAAGCAAATACCAACTGCCCCTGGAAATAAAGCCAACTCTTGAAGGGAACAATATACTGTCTCGTTTTACCAATACCTCAGGCTGACCCCACACATGTAAATCTTTCCTTCACAAAAGTGCCCTTGTAACTCCTGAAGACACAGCCTTCACAGTTAGTGCAGGACGGAACAGGGATGGGCCATGGGACCGCTGCACACGATGGTGCAACCTCCCTGCTGCCATGGAACACGCAGCTGCCCACAGCTCTCATCCTCTGCTTTATGTCCACGACCTACAATGCAGAAGGACCACCTAAGTCACTTGACTCCCATGTAGTATGGCACAGGGGCCTCTCATACAGACTTTCTATTTAAGAGAAGTTTCTCCACAGGCATTTTAATTCACTTGGATGGAAGCAGTATTATTAAAAGCTTTTCTTTTCACCATCTGGTTTATTATTTCCCCTCAGCTTCAATTTCTATTAATCTGTTTGTTGGGGTTTTTTTTCCCTGCAGAAGATCTTTCAGAGCAGCTGATTAAGAGCTGTGACCTCAAAAAGAAACCAAGAAAAGGTAAAACCATCTCAGCTTCCCAGAACACTGAACAGGAGCAAAAAAAGCCAAGGAGAAAAGATACACCGGCTTTTGCCCCACCACCTCTAACAGGTGAGCAATACATCTCGTGACTTCGAAATCCCAGTTCAGCTGAGGGGACTGAATCCGGGCAGAAGTCTAGAGAGCCCTCACTCGCTTACGTCCCCTTGGAGGTGGGCAAGAACACGGCCCCACGACACGCGCAGCCGGGAGGGCAGGCAAACAGAGAGGTTGACTTTCTCAAAGGCCTTCCCTGTTAGACGAAGGGTTTTCTCACAGGGTCTGGGAATACCAAGGTGAGTGGGTGTGTGCCCTGGAAAACATGCTCCCTTGGAGCGCATAGTCTTGCTGCCTTAACATGGTAAGTGATCTGTGTTTGTCTCTAGCTGCTGAGCCATGCTAGATGTTCCAATTCAGTCTGCACCAAAGTCAAAAAGGGTCAAGTTCAGGCCCTGCACTTTCTTGTGAAACGGGTACGCAGTGCTCAGGGGGAGACTGAATGGGGTAAGGCTGGGAGGAGACCAGAGAAGCACACAAGCCAGGTTGCTCCTCCTGGAAATCGCAGGGCTTTTGTGCTTTTGGGGACTCTGGCAAAAGGCGGGTGTTTCGGGAAGCCAGAAACTACTGCAGCAACAACGGGGCTCTTTGTAGGATGCTCCCTGCTGCTGCACATCTATAGACCTCTGAAGTTCAGGAGCCAAAGGCCACCAACCTGGGGAAGGCAAGAATGAGCAGAAGACTGCCACTGAAACCTGACGATCTTCCAAGATCAGCAGTGGGAATAAATGTTTGTCGCTTCTCGCTGCTAACAAGCACTCCTTGTTTTGCTCTCTGGGGTGAGAGCTGTGCTCTTGCATCTGCTCCATTGAGTTCTTCTTCCCATGCTGCACATACACAGAGGAGTTACCCAGTAACTACCTGCATGGTCCCCTGCGAACCTGCAACAATTCTCCAAGTGAAAAACAAGCAACTGAGATTTTCCAGTATTTGTAATCCAGATATTGAACTTGACTCTGTTCAGGTTTCACATGTATCTATCTCCTCCTCAGCAATTCTCTCTTAGGGAAGAGTGGCTCAGAGGCTGCAGAGCTGCATTTTGTGCCTGCAGTAGCCATACCATAAAGAAAACTTTGTTGCACTAGTTAAAATAGGCCATTTCTGTGTGGTCACATTGCTCCCAGGCAGAGGTTTGAGCTCCCTTGATAAGATGTCTAAGCGTCTGTAACAGAAGATTGCACCCATCTTTACCATGATTTCTGATGGGCTGCAGTTTAGCCCATTAAGTACAACCAGAAGCCAGCTAGCCTGAGAGCATCACTGCCTATAGCCTATGGGACAGAATTGACTTGGAAGAAATGTATACTGTTGCAAACCCTGAAGAGTAGGTACACCATGCAGAGCAGATCATGCACTCGCGCAGCCTTACTTACTTACTAGTCATTGGGGAAGTTACACAGGTGCAAAAGTCTTCAATGTGAACAAGGCTGAAGTGGCATTTGCTTTTTTTCTTGCCTGCAGGCATACTTTCAGACTTTTCTGATCATCTGCTGAAAAGGTATGGTATCACAGAGAAGCCACAGAGAGAGAGAGTGAGTCCAGGCTCTCAGATCACGGAACTGGAGCAGAAAAAGCCCAGGAGAAAAGATACACCTGCAATACACATCCCACCCTTGATAATAGGTGAGAAACTTACTCAGGTTTAAGGTCCTCCACAGAGGAAGCAAAAAGTGGCTAGTGTGTGAGGTATGCTTGGGAGGAGGCTGGAAGGAGGTTGCTCTGCCCAGTATGCTTAGCAGTTCCTGCTGCACCGGACCTATTTGGTCAAAGTACGTAATGGCACTGGTGGCTCTTGGAAAGTCTTTTCCATATTCCCTGCTCATGGGGATAGAAGGGAAGGGGAGTAAGAGAAGACATTAGATCACTTGATTATCTCTTGCAAACATGATCCTACTTTTGAGAAAGGCCAACTACTGCCCTGCTTTTCAAACTGAGCATGTGCAAATTTTTGGGTCACCAGCACCAATGTAGCTCACGCTGCCTCAAACGACCTGCAGCAAAGTGGTCCTGATTAAGCTCCTCTTAACTCCACAGTCCTTAACATGCACTGAGGAAACCAAGCTGTGATGAGCTTCTCATTAACAGCACCTTAAAGACAGTTCTGTGCTTCTGGCATAATATGCAGTGCAGCAGCTAATTCGCTTGGTGATCATGTGATGTCAGCCAGCCGTGTTTTGGTCCTAAGACCCTTAGTTTGTTGAGTTTCCCACATTCCTCTATCACAGAAGAGCCTCAATACATCAATATTTCTGAAGGTCTTTGAAGATGTAAAGCACTGTGCAAGTGATAATTACTAGTGCTAGCCAGGGATGCAGGAAATAGTGCAAGTTGGTATGCTATGCACCAGCCCTTTCCAGATCAGAGGATGGAGGAAAAAATGAACAAACAAATGAACAGATGAATGAATGAAAAGCAAACAAACAAACCCCAGATCCAAAACTAGTGCCCAAAACTGGATGACACTGTTCTCTTAGGACCCTCTCTCATGAACCGGTTCTGCTGTGGGCTGGCACTACTGAGCAGTGAGACACACTAAATGAAGAGGTCCTGAGACATGCTTTGGCCCTGAGTGACTAAGCAACAGCTCAGTACATCAAGCACCTGAGTTTCAGGTACACTTTGAATGGAATTTCCTGTACACCTAATAATTATAAGGTGTGCAAATGGCTTCATCAGTCCAAACAGGCAGCTGTATTTGTAGATATCTCCTTTCTTTGTGAATCTGAGCCTTCATAACTGACTTAAACATGTGTAAGATGTGGTCAATACTAGTGCCTTGCATATTGATCTGCCTAAGGAAAATACATTTTTTATTCGCTCACTGAACTGAAGCATCCCAATGGCTTGCAGCATCAGAGCTGCTGTGAGTGAGTCACTGGAAACCTGGTTCAGTCATTTGCTGGGGGAAATTAAATGTGTCGTATAACTTCTGAGCCCAACTCCAAATGCTCCACTTTGAAATATTTAATATAGAGCACTGATAATGAACTGCTCATATAATTGCTGGAGGGAATTACCTAGCAAATTACCTGGAATTCCACATGACAAATAAATTAGGTGGGAAAAAATCATAGTCTTTTAGGGTTTGATTCAGAAACAGAAGCAGAGGTAAAATTTATCAAACCATTTGTAATAAATATTAGCCCTGTGTATTATACCTGAAGCCTACCTTTCCTGTGGGCCTTGGAGGAGACATGAGACAGTATTTTGGTCAGTTCAAAAACACTCCCAAGAAAGGGTTGCCTTTGGCCATTTGTAAGCACCTTTGAAGATGCTGTTATGTCCTTTGCACTGCAGGGTATACATAAAAAAGGAGAATTTGAAAGCGAAACACGTTTGGTTGATAGAAATCAAAGAGGAAACGTGTGACACTGAAGCTGAGAGGCTTGACTCTTTGTTTTGGTTTAAATGTAATTGCTTGCTAAGAAGATGCAGCAAAGGTGAATTATTCCCTTAACCTGTCTCAAGAACGCACTGGTTGGATTAGCATCTAGTCTCTCATTACTTCATGTTTTGACCCTAGCTTTAACTGGCTCAAGCAGGCACTTAAGAGAGAAATAAGAGTCATTGTAAGGGTCTTCATCTCCTGCTTCCTATGAAGACTTCCTATTTAACTTCTAATAATTTTCAAAGCAAAAAGAAGCTAATACAAGTTATATGGTAACAGAAACATGTTATAATCCCTGAATGATTTGGTAATCAAAAAACTTAAAAGGGAAGGGATAGGGTTAGGGAAGGGAGGGAAAGGAAAGGGGGAAAAGGAAAAGGAAAGGGAAAAGGAAAAGGAAAAGAAGGAAAAGAGTGACTTTCAAATGTGTGACAAAATTCAAACTGTGTGCATTTGTTATTGGGAAAATGATAGAAACTAATGCAATTTTCGGTTGTTTTCAATCATACCTTCAATGACACTCTCTTGCCTACTGGTGAAGCCACTTTCCAGCACTCAGCATGGATTCAAAGCAGCCTGCTTAGATGCTGCTTCTCCCTGTGGACAGGTTTTCCAGACGCTGTATCCTCCTGGGTCCATTTTCCAGTCACTGACCGCCTGTGGCAGACTTGTGCCTGTGTCGGGGCAAAGCAGCCTATGTGTTTGAATGCCTGAATTTTATTCCCTCCCTACTCTAAGGATGCATTATTTTCTTTTTAAGATACATAGCAACATACAGCCTTCTGCTGGTTGAAATTTGCCAGTGGTGACTCCATGTCTTGTTATGAAAAAGTGACTCTTTGTGGCTGAGGGCTGGTCCAATATTTACTACTTGTTTACTTTCAGGGTTATCCCATCAGGTAGCAGACAGAGCACAAACAAACGGAGCTCTTGCGGAACTCCTGTGCTCAACAGAATCTGAATTATAGACTCAGAGACCTAAGAAGCCCTGGCAGGGCTATGTGCACTAAATACGTATAGACAGGCCTTTCTGTCCCTGTCTCCCTGTTACTGGTGTTGCTGCAGCAAGTGGCACGCTCAGTGCCGCGTGTATCTCTTGTGACCTGCTAATGAGGATTGTCCTTGTTTCTAACATTTCCCCTTCAGATCCCTCCCAAGCGTCACTTCCAGATGCCAATTCAAAAAACTCCGCTTAATTGTTTGTAGTAACAGAGCTTAATTACTAGATTATCTTTTAAATCTTGCCCACACAAATAGCTTTGTTGTAAATGTAGCTAAAAATGGCAGCTGTGTTATCTCTCTCCATTTTGACCAGCTGGTTATGAGCACTCTAGGATGGTCCCTCTCCTTCTTGGGCGGCCAGAGAGATTTTCTATTGCAAATAAAAGCAAGTTAAACAGACCATACAAAGAGATGAAAAACAATGTATCTGCTGGACAGTACGTGACCCAAGTGAGAAGCAGAATCAGTTTTGCACCTTGCAAACATCCAAGGGGGCTAAATTAGGATCTGAACGTTACTGTCTGCAGGAACCCATGGCTACCTGTTGTCTGCAGAAGGCAGCTAAGGAAATCAGTTCTTAGCCAGCTTAAGTGTCTAAGCCTTGGCATCACAAAACCCTCCCCTACAAGGGTCCGACTTCTAAACCTATTCAACCTTCAAACTCATACTGAGGTGATGCCAATAACATTGTGCCATGTGTGTACAAATGAGCCGTGAGCAGGGGTCTCTTCTACTGGCCAGCTCCCCTTCAGTCAGCCAACACCTTGGCTTTCTGAAGGGATTAGACCAGAAGTCAAAATATAATCACAATTCTAATGCGTTTTTTTCCTCTCACATGGCAGTAAATGATTTGAACGTGATCCAAAGCCTGTACTCAAATCTGGGACACTCTATTGCCACCCCACTTAGCAATATATTCAATTAACTGTATTAAAGTATTTCTGAGAGCTCTTCAGGGCTTGAGCAAGAATGTAAATACATATGTAAATATGGGAACATGGTTCTGAAATGTGGCTACTAAGGGTTCCTTAATCAGATCAGAGATAACTAGTAAAACCACAGCTTCAAACCATCATTCTCCCTCATGCCCTAGAATACTAGTTAAGGTAGCTCCTTTAGGGTAACATCAACCCCCCAGTGAAAAGTCTCAGAGTGGCGCAGGAAAAGTACAGCAATTTAATGCCACCTCTCGCCCTTTTTCAGTGCAAGGGATGTGACTGGAGGACTCCAGTACTCTTCCAACCCAGCTGCAGGAGTTGCCTGTAGGCAGTCAAGGGGAACTGGTGCCATCTTGGGGGTTTTCTGATTTACAACCCAGAAGGAGTGGCTTAGATCTAGGTGGCACCTGCCAAATGATTGATTTAAGCCAACTTCTTCCGCCTACATTTGAGCTTCCTAACAGAAGCTCTCATGTCTCTGTGAGCCTTTGAGGTCTAGTCTCTATCTGAACATTGCAAGTAGTTGCAAGTTCTGTTGGGAATTTTTATGCTGTTTCCTTTAGTCAGATTTCTTGGCAGATATTAACAGAACAATCGTTTCCCTGGGTTGTAGAAATAATTCTAGATAAGACATCCCTTTTGCATCATCTTTCCACTGTTTTACACTAAAAGACTGGTTTTAAAGGCACATAGTTGTCCCTGGAAGTTGTTAGTGGTCCATGGTCTGGAAAGTTAATAACCTGCAGCTCTAGGCTATGTCTTCCTCTGAGCTTTGAATTCTGAACTCTGCTGGAAACCTTTGGAGTTCATCAGTCACCAAAGTGGTTCACTGATAACAATGCATCATTTTGCTATGGATTGTGGTAAGCATCTGGCACGCTACTGACGTGGGTCCAGCTAAGAGCTGGGGACCTCTGCTCGGCTACTGCCTTACAGCTAGCATCTGCTCTAAACAGGCTGGTTTATATGCTATAATCAAGCCCTCAGAATTACATGAACATACTTTTCCTTCATCACTTCATAATTCAAATAAGAGACGTTATCATAGAGCACAGCGCAGCTTTATTTAGCTGACATAGCGGATTTCTTATTCCTGAGTTTACCCAAAAGCTCTCATCAAATGACATACTGTAGCTTCACACTTTAAACATATTTTAGCTATGTTTTCCTCGTTCCTCAAATTCTCCATGAAGAAAAAATAACAACAATAAAAAACCCCACCCTCCCCTAAAAAATCCCACCCCAAAGAACAAAGACCACAGAAAAAAAAAAAAATATTTGCCTAAGCTGTCTATATGAATAGAAGTCTGAGTGTGGATCATGTTCATCCATCTCCCTAAAATGGCATGATCCTTTGCAGTTAACAAGGGTGGCTACTCAATTGTTGCTTGAACAAATGGAGTCCTTTGTGTTTCAAAATAATATTCATTCATGCCTTTCAGTTTATCTCATGGTGCCACTGAAACCAGCTAGTTCACAAGACCTGCATATAAATGAAGCAGGAGCTAACTTAAATGAAGGGCAGTATAGGTTAATATTTTCATTAATTCATCACCTCTTGAAAAGATGCCAGAGTTGAAGAAAATCTTCCTGTGTGGTATTGCTCTATTTTCAGAGCTTGTCAAGACTGAAAGCCTTCTCTGTCAGAGGGCTTTCGATGCAGAAGGAAGCAAAACAGGTTGGTTTGATGGAACAACTCAGCTGGTTAGGACAGACTGAGAGCAAACAGCAGGAGACCGAATTAGGGAGAGATTTCGCTGGTCTCAACACAATGATAACCCTCATCCTGTTTTTAGACTGTTAACCTCCACACCAAGGAATGTGGGCATAAAATATGTCTTACAAGTCACTTGCTTTTTACTGGGAACAGGCAAACCCAACACAATCTGTTAAAATAGGGATCAAGAACATTTTCTATCATCTAACGCATTGACCTCTCTTCACTCAATTACTTTTATTTCTAATAGAGAGAGCAGTTACAGTAATTGTGATATCTTGGTATCACATAAAAGCCTCAGCCTCCGTGAGGGGTGGACTTACTGTTTTAAGTATGAGAGAGAGAGTGAAAGAGAGACAGAGAAGGGGGGAGAGGCAGATATTTGTGGAAGGTATGCTCCTCAACCTATCTATAGAATAGAGAAGGAGTTTGGAAGAAGGAAACACATGTGGAAAGATATTTCACGTAGCATACCTACAGCTGATGAAAAGGCTTCTGGAATCCCCATGGTGTGCTTGAACTGTGAAATCAAATCACTTTCAACATCATGTCATATTGTTCTTCAGTGCTTTCATGATAGGGATGAAGCTTTATTTTAGTTCTCTTGTTACAGGATGGCTAGGTCTCAAAGCTTGTTCAAACCCCAAACCTCAGTAACTCATATACTGACTCAAAGCCTTCGGTAACATACCCAAGTTTTTTAACATTGATCTTGATACAGTTGCTTTTGTAATTTTTTTGTACTATATAACTTCAGTGGGGATAGCACTTGGCATGTGGGTATTCCAACATTTGTCTCTTTTGGCATTCTGCATTTGCAGAATCTAAGTAATATTGCTATATACGTGTAGAAAATAAGCATGCATACACAATGTTCACATAAACTGACTCAATCACAAAGATTAGAGTATTTATTTCATCATGCAAACTCTT